TAATGTGGTTCCTGGCAATATTTGCCAATGGAAATATATATATAAATCTCCAAATATTTTCTTGGAGCTTGTTTTTGTTTTAGCATTATGATGAAATGAAATGCAACTATTGAGAAAAAAGCACTTGTCTGTGCTTAAATACATTTTCTTGGGGTAGGGAAATGGAGAAACACCCAAAGGAATATAATATGTATGCTGAAAATCCTACATTTAGTTCCCAGTAACTCCACTGTAATGGTTAGAAAAATAGCAATATCATCATAATGAGTCACTGTCTATCTGAATAGAGAGCCATGAAGTAAATATACCAAAGTAGCATCTATATTTCTTTGTAGATTTTATTTCTTAAATTTATTTCTTCATTTGTCCAGGCTATCCAACGGTTATTGGAAGAAGTGGAAGAGCAACAGCGAGCTCTTGAGGTGTATGGTGTTCAACTAGAGAGGGAACTACGAGGAGAAGCAGGTAAGAATGGCAGAAATTCTGTGATCTGAAGAATATGCTAGCCCTCCTGAAGCTGTTTGAGATGTAAGAAAATTCAGTTACACTTAACTTTTTATCCTGTTAGAATAGGTTAGAATAGCATGGGATACAGGAAACTTTTAGGCCCATGAGCGTTTTTGAGTATGTGAGAACTTTCCCCCTTGATATCATATAATGACTGCTGGGGACACCATGGCTAATCTTGAAATGTACAGGACAATGCCCAACCATCGAATACAACTCAGCAGCTACAGTAGGTGGCAGTAACAATCAGATGTAGTTAGTGTTTGAGAGGCCACAAGAAAATCCCATGTTGTAGGCTAGACTGGGGAGTTAAAAGAAAACGGCAGTTCACTTCTATATTGCTGCCGAGATAGCAACATGGACATGTCCATGAAGTCACCCAGAATCAAGCTCAGTTATCAGCTGCACATGTTTATTTAGTGATAAATTTCACTTGGGCAGTGAGGGTCCCCCCAGAAGAAGGCAGGACAGCAGGCCATTATTTAAATCCACCCATTGAAACAAACAGATACTGGAAAGGAAAAGGCTGCTTGACTTTTTAGTACCTCTTAGGCCAGTGTCACTGAAGGCTAATAGAGGAGATTCTCGGGCAGATTACTTGGCTCAGGAACTGACTGTGGATCTGTATTCCTATGGGCTGTCTTAGGATAGCATATTTCATGGAACCACGCCTTTTTATCAGGAGAGGCAAAATTTAAAAGAGGGTAGAATTCTAGCACATTAGAGCTGTGTAACAAAAAGAATAAGGGAAAGGTGAAGGAACTCTTCTTTTTTGCGCTCAGCCACCCTCTCCCAATTTCACTTTTATTAATTCCTACTTTCACATCTCCTCCCTTCTTACGAAGACATCCATCTCTTCAGTGACACCAACACTGCATTATAGAAAGATTGGAAGCAAGCACAGAAGAAGGAGAATGGTTTTTTAAAAAAAGCATTACGGAGGACGGAAAAAGGAGAATGGAGAAGGAGAATACAGAGGAAGGAGTAGAAGAAAACCAGGGAAAGGGAGAGGATGGACAAAGGCAAGAAAGGGAAAGGAGGAAAAAAGTCAGCCCGATCTCCCCTGATTTTTGATATCCTCCTTTTAGTTGTGGATTTTCCACTGCTCAGCTTGCTTTTCGTTCTTTAACACCACCAAGCTTAGCTTCTTCTGCCTCTTCCTTCTGTCTCCTTCCTTCTCCTCCCACCGTTGCAGATGTCTGTTGATGCTTTCATTTATCTAAGCCAGGGTTCCTCAACCTCAGCAACTTTAAGATGTGTGGACTTCAACTCCCAGGATTCCTCTAGCCAGCACGCTGGCTGGGGGAATTGTAGAAATTGAAGTCCACATATCTTAAAATTGCTGAGGTTGAGGAACCCTGGTCTAAGCAGAAGGAAAGAGAGATGCCAACATAGAGAGCAAAAGAGGCTGAAGAGGAACTAGGCTCTGAGGAGGCACCAGAGAGACCATTTGCCAAGCAGGCCAATACAAAATGAAGTGCAATGCCTGCAGGCATCCTGGTGCCTCTGGGCATCACTCTAGGCACCAGCACATCTAAACCATAGGCAATTTGAAGATGCCATAGGTAGGGCTTAATATATTTTCTAGAAACTTTAGAAAATGCACATGACAGCCTACTGGTCCTCAGTGCACAGCAACTGCACCTTTTTTTCTTTTTTTTTTACAGATAGCTGGAAGGGCAAACAGTTACTTCATTGCTCCAAAGTATGCTAAATTAGTTTTCAGCCTGCAGCAGGTGGTACCTTTTAAAAATTGCTGTCTTCATCATGCATTTTGTCTTGTGAGAGAGACTTTAAATTTGCCTTGTGCTCAGCACAGATTTCTTGCTGTGAGCTGGCCTCATTCCACGCTTCTGCCCAAGAAGGCTGGTTGCTTGCTCTGAGTTCCAGGTTGCTGATGGAATTGTGCTGATCTCTCCAGCTCTAATGCAACCTTGGAATTAACACATCAGAGGGTAACTGGTCATCTCCATTCTCCCTGATCTGGAGTCTCACTTCTCCACCTGTGCTAACTCAGTGGCAACAATGGTTTCTTGCACAAGGGGCTCAGACCATAGAAAATGATACTGATTCAAGGACACTGATACTAAAAAACTCCTAGAAGAGTCTTTGTCAAAAGCATCCCTATCTACCACAACAGAAAGCAAAACAAGGGTTCTCATACGGATGGAACATGCTGGAGGCATTAAACCTAAAAGTCTTAAGAACTGAATATCTGTTGGACTCAACAATGTACAGACTTTTATTTTGCTTGGATCTGCTAAGTTGTTATGCCATTACTTACTTGGCATGTCTTGGGAGACCAAAGGTTTCTGCTCCATTCCCTATCCTTAGTAATTTAATTCCTTTTATTAAGGTCAGTTTTTTCCACCCTCTATTGATTGATCGACAGAGATGCTGGTGTTCTAAAAGAGGGAGTGATTATTTCTCATCTGTCAATCTTACATGTAGTTTTGGCAAACAACCTCTGAAAATTATTAATTTAGGGAAGTTGCTTATAACCATGTTTATGTCGTTAATGTACGGTTACAGCCCTTATGGTTCCATTTATTCACCCTTTAGAAATATAGTGCATTATTGCTTAATAAATAACCAGGTCTAATTAGATTAAGCTGCATTTAAGCAGGGCTGTGCTTATGGAGTTCAAGTGATTTAATAGGTATTATTACGGTAATTAGAAAATCATCACAGTTAAGCAATATTATTGAGCCGCAAAGGTTCTTAATAACCAAATTTAGAGACAGGCCTGCAAACAGTAGTCTTCCATGACATTAATGCAACTCCCCTCTAATAATTGTGTGAGAGTGAAATGAAAGGCTCTTTTGTTAGGGGGAATTACTCATTAGCTACTGGACTGAATAAGAGTGTGTGGGGGTGAAATAAAGTGCTCTAAAGGCGCTGAGTAAAATGTGCCTAAGAGGATCACAACTGGAGCAACAATCACCTATGCATTAGAAAAACCTGAAATAATCTTAGCCTTATGAATAACATTCATTATTACTGGGGCACACACCAGGTTAATAGTGATTGGTCTGTTCTACTTTTTCTTTTAAAGTTCAGAAGATCTTCTGGGGCAGTCTCCCATTTAGGCACTGATTTTTATTCTGTGCAACTTAACTTTAGAATAGCAAAGGCATCGACCGTATTCTGAAATCACTGTTTCCCTAAGGCTTTTCTATACAGTATATATATTCCATCACTAGCAATGCGGTATCAAAATAGAAACTCTGGTTGTTCTGCTATACTGTTTTCTCCATCTCTACTATTTGTGAAAGCTAATGAAAGTGCAGATTTTTCTAATGTGATATATCAGTATAAGGGCTGTATTTTGGTTGTATACCACAAACAAATAGGAACTGCCCCAGATTGAGCTATGCCCATGTGACAAAGCATTGCAAGTGTATGTGCATTTAGGAAAACACAGGCCCTGGTTCTGTGGACAACGAAAGCATGTATAATATGTTCCAGTGGAAGAGAAAAACTTAGAAATAAAAATGGTGGGAACAAGCAGTAGGAAATAACCACTTCCGTTGGTTCCAATCTGGTTTGGAAAGTCTTGGAAACTACCTGGTGAAAAAGCATTTTAAATATGTGAGAGTAAGAACTTATATACATGTCCTGCTTGCCAGGGCATAAAGAGGCACCACTAATTATTTGTCAAGGACACGAACACACAGTGTCATTCTCAACTTGTCTCTGCCCCACAACAAAGGTAGCCACCACCACCACCACCCCGCTTTTCTTGCTTCACTTCAAAAATGGCAGGTTTTGGCCTCTAGGTGTGCCAGGTGGTCAATCTGTGGCAAGTTGTTTCTCCTCCCACCCATAGCAGGGAAAATGGGGGACAGCTGCAGGGGAGAAAAGCTCCTTTGGTGCCAGTTCTCCAATTTCTCGGTGTAATCACTCTGAGGAATTGGAGAATTGGCACCAAAGGAGCTTTTGTGATCACTCTGTACACCTGGAGAACAGGTAGCAGAAGGCTTGTTTCCCCCCTTGCCCTCTGCTTCTCCTGCCATAGGTGGCAGGAGAAGTGGAGGGAGAGAAGGAGACTGTCTCCTTTGGTGTCAGTTCTCCAATCCCACAGAAACATGGCCATGACTGGCCCCAAAGAAGATATTCCTCACCATGGCTCTCAACTCTCCCTCTTTTCTGGTGCAGACAAAATCCCTATTCTGCTTCATTGCTGGAAGTGTGGTCAGCCCTTCGTTAAGCCAGCATGGTTTTCTGCTGGCTCCCATGTTGGATAACAGCACTTTCATGCTGCTGTGTGACAGAGCCCTGTGTCAAAAATGGAACTTAATGTCTTCTAACCTTCAGTTCAGCAAATTTTGGCTGTAATGTTTGAAAATACTTAGAAAATGGATGTGGAGTGTTTCAGAAGACGTTTTAATGAGCACTGCTTCTCTCTACATGATGCAACTTTTGGGATCATAAGGAAGAAAAACTGATTCTGGCATTTTAAAAATTTCTTAAACAGATTCCAGCACACAAGATGAAGCTCAACTGTTACATGAATGGTTTGAACTAGTGTTGGAGAAGAATAGATTAATGCGCTATGAAGCTGAACTATTGATCATGTAAGTCAGAATTGATAGTTTGCCATTAATGGTGAGAATACGTGTGTGTGTGTGTGTGTCGGGGGGGGGAGGGAGGATTTTCTCTTTCCAGCATGCATATGTCCATTACAGAACTAAACTGCTGCATTATCCATTGCATAGCATATTGTTATTATGGTTTGAAGTTAGATAGTTATTCCTTTTTATATTATTCTTAGTGAAAAGCTTTTATGGAATATCTTCTAAGAATATTTTCGTGCTGATCTGAAATCTATATTGGCAAGGTTGAATATAATGAATGAATGAATGAATAAATAAATAAATAAATAAATAAATGATAAAAGCCCTTTTTATATTTTTTACCTCTGAATTGAGATAGAACTCCTAGTCAATCATAATCTTGAGCCATTTGTACAAACATTTAATCCTATTATTGTGACGTATTATTCATTCCTGAGCTGTACAATATGATTCCCACCTTGTTTCCTTATTCTGTTTTCCTTTAATATCCCATTTATTTATTGCATTTATAAGGCCATCCAACTCTAGTAATGTGACTTTGGGTGGCACACGAGTTTGTAAACAATGACAATAATAGCAACAACCACCATCACAACAACAACCCTACATCATTAAAACACTCCAGTATATACATATAGTGAACCAAACAGGATAATTAAACAACTAAAGTTGACTCCACTCCTCTGGACCTCAATACTTGGGTAAAAAGCTAGGTTTTGAAGGCTTTTCTAAAGGCAAGGAGAATGAGGGTTGTCATATATCGGGAAGAATCATTCCAGAGTACATTATCCCCCACCTCAAACTATTTTTGACAGGTTTTTTTTTTTTTAGCGTGACTTCTACGCTCCCCAAGTAAAGTGTGCTTCAATCTTACTGGAGGCAATGTTTTCAAAATCTGGCCAAGTTGATAGGTGGAGAAGTACAGCCAGCCAGCCTGCCTTGCCTGCAAGTGGGGGTTGCAACATCTCCATCTCCTTTGAGTGCCATGGAAGAGTTGCAACACTATTGAGAGGAAATAAAACTAAGAGCAAAACAAAAACATCATGCAGTACAGTTAGGAGTTAATTTCTTAATTTCTCCTTAAAAAAGGATTCTAGGAATTTACATGCTGTACTTTTAGCTTTCCTGAGGGACAGAGAGACAAATGGATTTAAAATCAGCAAAGCAATCTGAATCAGCAATCAAAGAACTGTAGGTTGAAAAACATATACCTGCTTCTTCTGAATTCCCAACATACTGGCATATACCTCATAATCATAATTTAAATTTCCAGCATACTGTTTCTGCATGTATCTGTGTTCTGAGGAAATACAACCATTGCAGCATCACAAATATGCTGCAAGACATAGACCCTTTTTTCATTCTTTCCGATCCAATGGAATTTAGGAAAGAAATTATATAAAGGGGCTTGGGGTTTACTCTTGAAAACGCAACAGAATTGGACCAAAGTTGGTGTGTTTGTGAGAGGAGATGGCAAGTGAGTTTGAAAAAGGGCCAGATCCAGCTGTTGCTGAGAGGAAAAAGATGTCCAGAAAAAAATTCCCAATGCATCCCTACCAGGGTTTTTCAACCTTGGCAACTTTAAGATGTGTGGATTTAAACTCCCAGAATTCCCCAGCCAACATATGTTGAAGTCCAAAAGTCTTGAAGTTGCCATGGTTGAGAAACCCTGGAATAGGTAATTAGACAGTGACTTGGAAGGTTGCCAACTGTACCACTTTAAATGGTGAAATGTTATACCAACAATAAAGTCATATACACTGTGTACATTACACATTTGTGTATATAACACATATTCAGTCGTGAACATGATAAAGGGAAATATATGAAGAAGCTGGAAGTCTCTTGTTATATGTTTTTATACAGTGGACAGTGTAGCTTTTGTCCAGGGTACTGTTAATAGCAACTATCTCATTTTACGCCAGTAATAACTAAATCTGTAATGCACATTAGGCTGAGAGATAATAACTAGAATACCTGATACAGGTGGTCCTTGTTTAACAACCACTCATTCAGCAACTATTCAAACTTACAACGGCACTGAATGAGTGGTAGTTATGACCGGTCCTCATACTTACGACTGTCGCAACATCCCCGCAGTCACATGATCACGATTTGCGACCTCCCTGCCAGCTTCTGACAAGCAAAGTCAATGAGGAAGCCTGCAGGAAGTCGCAAGTCACAGTCACATGAGGTCCTTGCTTAACGACCCGTGTGATCCTTGCTTAACAATGGCAGCCGGGATTGCCGGAACTGCCAGAGCTAAGTGATGCGGTCACGTGGATTTTCAACTTACAATTGTGTCAATGATGGAGTTCCTGGTACCAATTAGTGTTGTTAAGCGAGAACTACCTGTAAGCATCTTTGCTGAATTCAATCTTTGTTTACAATACCATCAACTGCATTACACTGGCTCTGTCAGTGCAATCATAACAATCTTTATGAGGTTGTCTCTTATGTATTTTTTCCCTTCAGAATTGTAATTGATTAGATATTACTATCCGTATTTGGGGGGAGAATGATGATACAAATGGAAATGAGCTTGAACACATGGACTTTCATTGCCTTGCTGAAACAAGGATCTTGATCCACTTTGTGTAGAATAACAGTAAGAGTTATTAAAGGATCTGTCCTTATAATGGGGTCTTTTTCTTGTTTCAGAGCCAAAGATATAGAACTGGAAGATCATCGGAATGACTGGAGGAGGACCGAGACAGAAAAATAACTACTGATGATAACAAAATAGATATTTAAGGTAATGGTGGAAGGTGTATTTTGTATACAAAATCAATATATATCACCTGCAAATGGGTACAGGTAGTGCTCACTTACCAACTGCAATTGGGAACAGCAACTGTCACCAAATGACACAGTTGTAAAGTGAAAAATCATGTGACTGCACCTGACTTACAACAACAGTTTGTCAGTTCTGGCTGCGGTTGTTAAGCAAATCACCATGGGTCATTAAGTGTGATGTCACATGACTGTGACTTGTGACTTCCTGCTGGCTTCCCCGTTGACTTTGCTTGTTGGAAGCTGGCTATGAAGGTCACAAATGGCGATCATGTGACTGCTGGACACTGTGACTATCATAAATGCCTGCCAGTTGCCAAGCACCTGAATTGCAATCATGTGACCATGGGGATACTGCAACAGCCACAACTTTGAGGACTGACTGTAAGTCTCCTTGTTCAGCATTGTTGTAACTTTGAATGGTTGTTGAATGAATGGTTGGTAAGTGAGGACTACCTGTACATTGCTACAAGCAAACTCATATTACTGTTGGTAGTGTTGGATCTGCTGAAGTGACCTGTTTTAATTCCCTTATGCAGTAGGCATGGACAATTACTTATTGTTTCTTGTGCAGTCAAAAATGGATGGCTGCTGAATGAATGTAGTAATATGAAAGTGAGAAATCAGTATGAAAAAAGTTGAGGTGATTTGGTAATAAAGAGACAATGAATGAGAATCAAATCAGAAAAGAAATATATGGAGAAAGAATGGGTTGAGAGGAAGGGAAGATCAAGAAAATGGAAAGATGAGAAGTTTTAAGGACAAAAGGCAATGCATGATGTGGTGAAAGCATGGATTGAAGGTATGGAGAGGTATAATAAATGGTGTTGGTATAAACCAGATTTAGTTAGATTTTCCTTTTACATCCTGTCTTTCACTTATTTCACTCTCTACTTCTCACTCTTTGCATGATGTTGCTTACCCCACAAGGTGTGAGAGATACTATATGTATATACATTTAAATACCAGTGTTGAAGGTTTTTAGTGTAGGACTTGCTGAAAATTAAATCAACTTTTGAGCCATCATTTTAAAAGAAAATTTAAAAGCAATTAAGATATTTGATTAGGATAGGGAAAGGACTGTTGAAAATTACTCTCGCCAAGTAATCCCAATAGAGGATTCCATTTAGCATTCATTTTGATTACAGACAGAGGGTGGGTTCACATATGTTCCTGCTGGAACTATGAATTGCCTTTTTAATGAAAGCCTGTACAGTATACACGCGTGTGAAAAGAAGCTTCTCATATATGTTCATTTAGCAAGTTTGTATATGAATCCCTGATTCGATAGCATCCCTGATGGGACATAAAAGTCTGCACATACAGCGGTACAAGTGGACAACCTGTTCACAATGTTTGGTGAGCATTTATATATCCCATGTCCAATGGTATTCATGGACATAAGAGCATAATAAGTAGACACAAGTGGTCCTGGTTCAGTTTCTCCCCCCTTTTTGTCACACTAATACCAAATATAATGAATCCATTATGCCATTTAATGCATTAAGAGAAATTATGTTAACTTTTTAACCTTTGTATTTGTGACAGGGCCTAAATAATGAACAAGGGATATGATGAGAAAAGAGGCAGGAGGAAGCTAACAGTATCTTCCTGAAGGGACAGAAAGCGTGAATAAGATGAACTACATTTTGAGAAGTTTTACACTGCCTGACAAATGCAAATACTGAAGGATGTACACAGTTCTCAGAAAATAATTGTCCTTCCAGCATAGTGAATACTATCAATGTATTAGGATCAAAATCTTATTACATGGTACAACTGTAGGAGGAAGGAGTAATGTTCCAATTAAGTGATATAAAAATAACTATTCATACTGGCCTTTGTGCAAAAAGAATGAATTTTAGCTGGGCCTTATCTAATACACTTCCACTGAAGAAATAATACTAAAATTATCTTTGTTTTCTACTTTGTGGATTTTTAATTCTGAGAATTCTTGAAAGTTACAAAACCACAACACGGCTTTACTTTTCCTTAAGAGTAGGGTCCTTCAATCCATTTTTCTCATTTGTAAACATATTTTGTTTATAGATGGATGACAAAAGGGCTTCCAGTGATTAAAATACATACCACTACATACACTAGGGCCTTAATTTTTTACATTAATTCTTGAAGTGGAGGAAGGTGTCCTTGTGATTAGAAATTACACGTATAATGTAAATAAATAACAACACAAAGGAATCAGTGCAGTGTTAAGCAAACACAATTTATAAGATGTGTTTACAAGGTAAAAGGCACTATACATATTAAATTTTAAAATGTTGGTAGATATTTGTATTTTGCACATTGTAATTTAATATACAAGGTTTTTTCTGAACAAAATGTCAAGAGATTAAGTGGACTATTTGTACTGAAACAAATGATAAAAAACTATTGGTTTACTCTAAATAGTTTTATTTTTGTAGTTTGTTTTTTAAAACTTGTATGAGAGATGTAGGACAACAGAATAGTTGCTTTTGAACATCCTTGCTTGCCGTTCCAAATGGAAATGTTTTTAAAAAACTGTTACTGTGTAAAATGTGCATAAAAAGTATTGCCGCTTCTGCTAAAGAATATCAAGTAATGTATAAAACTTTTATGTGCAAAAACCTGTGGTCCCTGACTGGTGGGAAAGGAATTAACTGGATTCTGATACAAATAGCATATTACCTGATCCTATACAACATAAATGCAACCAAGCCCCAGGATAGGAGACTGGGTTTTGGTGACTGCATACAAGCCACAATGTTCCCAGCATCAATCGTCTTCCTTTGAGCGCAGTATGAGAATGAAAATTTATTTCATGCTTTTGAGCTGAAGTTTCTCTTAATATAGAAAGTCCAAAAATAGTGATTTGTTTTAGTCACAATTAATTAATAATATTTGATCCTGATTTGGTTTCAGTAACTTTGGACACAACAGGTTGCATTTCACTGAATTGTCTAAAAGGGGCAGTTTGCTCTAAAAATTTGCTTTTGGATATCTAAAGTGGACCCTAAATAATTCATAATACACACACATACATGCGCGGACACATACACATTCACAGACGTAAATACTTGTAACGGTGGTTGAAGAAATAGGTGACGTGTGATTTTCAGTATTGATTATAATTTGGTGTTTACACAGAATGTTAACTTACAAACATATTTATCCTGTGACCTTCAATTTTATGCTTGGTCAATATCTAATGTGCATCATGAATAATATCTGGCCAAGCTGGCATATAATACCCATTTTTTAAGAAAGAAATGCAAAATAGCTGAATTTTATAATTTATGTTGTATACACTCATTTTCATCAAGTGTGTGTATTGAGTCATATATCACCAATGTAGTATAAGTTATTCTCTGTAGTCATAATAAAATGTATTACTTCTAAAATTGTATTGGATAATTTAAGAGTTTACCATTTTAAATGCAGCAATGTACACAGTAGCCAGATTCCTATTTTTATCTATGATCTAAGTTACTATATTGGTGATCAACCAAGTCATGAACTGCTGAATTTTTAGAAGTACTTAATGAAATCAAGTGCTTACAGTTTATAGAATCATTTCTGTGTCCTATCACTGATGTGTTAAGTAAAAATGAACTCTATACTGAAGCTGATTTTAGTTTTATGTTACCTCTGCTAGTGAAAAAGTTTTACCACTTCCTTATAGCAGATGTTTATAAATACTATATGGCAGAAAAGACATCCCATTTTTCAAGGAAAGGAATAAAAATGTGACCATTTTCAGATGACACAATAAGCCAAAAAGGATGGTCACCTCCTCCTCCTCTTGAGCAACATGATTAGGAAATAGGTGATTAATTAGAAACACCAATGATTTATTATCTGGCTAGTAGCAGAAAAAGTATTTTGCAGTTGACACAATATACACTGTACCCATAAACTAAAGTTCCATGTACTCAGGGTTCCTTGTGATCTGTAGAATATGTTTTGGTTCATAAAATAGTATATATTCTTGCTTATGTTTTTGTATAATCACCAGAGTTACTGGACTGTGCAAGCCCAAATTTTTTATACATCATTTTTTAGTGGGGGGGGCAAAATCAAAGTAAAGCTTATTTGCAAAAGTGAAACAGTATCTTGGCAAGCAGCTTTTGGAAGAAGAAATGAAAAAGAGAAATGCCCTGAGGCACAGAGTGTTATGCAGTATCTTTTCTCAGCTTTTTTTTCTCTGCCAGAGCAAATACATATTTGGAAAATGATTTGGGGAAATAACTTGGAGAAATGAAACATTGAGATAGAAAAAAAACTGAATAACACATGCACCTCTCTGCTACAAATTCCCATCCCCAAACTTTTTATGTCAATCTTTTTATAAAGCATCTCTTAGAACTGTGGATTTATTTCCTTTATGTTAAACACACAGAGTAAACAGTGGACTAGAACTGCAAGTCATATTCAAGAAATGAAGCATTAAGCAGATTGAATGATTGGGGGGTGGTATTCAGGAACTTGGGGAGTCCACAGACTTATGAACACTATGAAATAAGCCAGGATTGCTGAAAAAAATCATGAAAATCTGCTGAGGAGAAAATAGAGCCAAACATGGAATCACATCTTGCCATTGCAACACACTCAGAAATGAAATACGTTCAGGGGAAGTTTGCTCACTGACATCCAACTCCTTCTCTTCCCAGTGCAGCTGTCTATAAGAAAGCAATTCTGGTGACACAAATCAGAACCAGAACTTTATGGAGAGTCAGTTCCATTAAATCAGGAGTTGAAAGAGGGCATTGAGAATATTGAGTCTAAATAGCTTCTGCTCAATGTAGGAATCCACATCAAAGCTTCATTGAAAAATATCTATCTGCCAGGAATCTGCAAAACATACCATTCCCTGGGACAAATCAATGCAGCTGATTTGGTACATTTCTGAAAGTACAGTTTCTAAAACAAATGGTTTGCAATGTTCTGAATGTGATTCAGTCCCTAGATACTGCTTAAACACATCCAGTGAAGCCCATCACCTCTCCACTTAATTGGTTCTGTCAAACTGTTATTACCGCTGGGAAGTTTGTCCTAATATTCAATCAGAAACTGCCTGCCTGTAATTTAACCATTATTCTGATCAAAGCTGAATATGGCTGGCTGTGTTTTGTGCCAAAATACCAAAACAATCCATCCAAATTATTACTTCTTAATTTGGGATTTGTCAGAATCCAACACACATGTATAAGTTGTTATGGCTGTCAAGGCTTTCTGGAGCTGCCCAATATATTGTCCTAGGAAGTTCTTTCTTAAAGCAAAACATTATCAAAGGGCCAAAGAGTGTGCTTCCCTAGCGTTATTAAAGTGGCAGTAAACTTTAAAAAGAGGGTTTTCAGGTTGTGCAAATTCAGCCATTCTTATTTATAAACCATGATTCATGTCTTACCGTGTTGTTCAAAGTCACCAGTTGTAACTTATTCAATAAATCATGGTTTAGTATGAGGTATGAACTGGGCTGTAGTGTTGATCATCAAAGAAGCCACATTTATTCTTTCATTTCATTTATTTGTTTGTCAACTTGTATGCCACTTCTATCACACAGTGACTCTAGGCAACTTACACAATAGAATTAAAACATCAAGTAAAAATAACAACAAAACAGATCTGGCAAATGATTATGTGGTGCACATGTGAAAGGGTGACTAATACAAACATATTCCCCATTAACTATTGTTAGGGAATAGATCACTCCGCTCCACCCCAGGAGCTGTTGAGAAAGGCAGATCTTTACAGATTTAGGGAACCCTAACATGGTTGGGACCAAATGAATCCTAAGGGTCATGCTGTTCCACAGAGCAGGTGTAGCTACCAAGAATGGGTGTCTCCTAGGTCCCAGAAGATGACAGTGATTTACAGCTGGGATCCAGAGCATGCCAACTCATCTAGATCTTACTGGATGGGCAGAAACAAAGACTGTCCCATAGGTAACCAGGTCCTAAGTCATGAAGGGCTTTATAGGTTATCACCATACACCTTGAATTGCACCCAGAAGCTCACCAGTAACCAGTGCAGCTCATGGAGCAGTGGTGTTACAAGGGCAAAGCAGGAAGCACTCATAACTACTTGTGTGGCTGCATTTTGGAACAGTTGTAGCTTCTGAGTTGTCTTCAAGGGTAGCTCATTGCAGTAGTCCAAACAAGGGATTAGGGCATGAGTGATTGTGAGAAGGGCCTCCCAATCCAGGAAGGGATATAACAGGCCTACAAAATGATCTGTGCATAGGCCTTTCTGGCCAAGGTTGCCACCTGTTCATTGAGAAAAAGCTAAGGGTCCAGGAAGACCCATGAATTAGGTACAATTGGGACAGTGTCACTCCATCAAGTAAATCACTATGACCAGCATGTTGTTGAAACCAAAGTGACTTGCTAGAGTTGAGCCTAAACCTGATTCTCCTCATCCAGACCCTTACAGCCTTCAGGCACCAGGACAGGACCTCCACAGCATTTCTTCTTCAGCCAGTGGTTGAAATTTAAAGCTGGGTATTACCAACATACCAATAATATCTGACCACATTTATGACCTTTTCCAGTAGTCTCATGTAGATGTTGAATAAAATTCAAGTGTCTTCGGCTGACTTCTCCCACCTACCAACATCAACTGGAATTGGCCCCAGTTGCTTAATATCTCTGGGCAGCATGCAGAAAGAGTCGCTTCCATCTCTATTCCTCAACTTGCTGTTCTGTTGCTTCCTCACTAGCTTGCTTATCCTTCAAAATCAAAGAGGCAGCATCAACATCTTTTTCCAGCCCCCTTTCAACACCTCCCCTAACATTACGTTAATTTAAATTCTTAATCGACTGCGTGCGATCTTCACGATCCAGCGGCTGCACATCTAGATCCCCCCACCCCCGGGATTAAAGTGAGCTGTGGACTGCAAAAAGGCGATAGAGTTTACTGAGTGGAACAAGGATTTGCTTTTTATATTTACAGAGTACAAATGCAAATAATGTGTAACTGAAACTGGGCTAGGAAATGACGTCGCGGGAAATGTTTTCTGGGAGCACAGGCTACGCTACCTTTTGAAACTGCCCCGGCCAATGATGCAGGTATGGGGAATAGGCCAGTCCTGGGGAGTGAAAGGTTGAAGCCTGCTGGGTTAGCACCGCCTGAATCCCATGCGCGGAACCGCTCCCCCTTTTAAGCCCTAAAATGCAACTAAAGACACGAGTTTATTCAGAACGGAGACTCGCAGGATCCTTTCCATCCCCGAACACTCCCACTGCATGTGAGACATCAGCCATCCGTGGAATTGAAAACTTCTGGATTCAGCTCCACGGGCTTTCCTGTCAAGCAGGATCAGGCGGCAGCCCTATGCAGAAGCGGGCGGTAGACGCCGGAACGTTTTCCCTATACATTTGCATAGGATGCCGGCCGCAACCTCTTTCAACAGGGTCGTTCTTCCTGCGGGTGAACCGAAGGTGAATGGCAATTTGTGGTGCGGAGCCCCCAAACGCTCTTATCCCGGCGCGTGCGGAGGAAGAGAGCGGGCGGGCGCGAGCGGCGGCGCCCGGGAAATCTCTCCGCAGAGCCGATCGGACTCCGCGCGTTTGCCTAAAGGGAGAAAAACTCCTTCTCTGGGTGTGCGCGGGAGGGAGGGAAGGAGGAAGGAGGGGGGAGGGAGGGAAGGAGCGAGACCCAGAACAGCCTCAGATGCCTGGAATAATTCCGCTTCCGTTGGGAATAGGGACGAGCCGCTTGTGACTGAGTCGAGCGAGGGCTCTCAGCGGTCGCTTCCCCACCAAGCTCGGGCGCTGTTTTGTGGGACCCACCGCCATGGCAACCTCTCCTCAGAAATCGCCTTCCTCCCCCAAGTCTCCAACGCCCAAATCGCCCCCTTCCCGGAAGAAAGATGATTCTTTTCTGGGAAAGCTCGGAGGCACTCTGGCCAGGAGGAAAAAAGCGAAAGAAGGTAACCGAATCGAGCGCCAAAGCTTTGCAGCGCGCGGTGCCTTTAATGGGGCGAGGGGAGGGGCGAGAGAAGGGGAGAGGACGCGAAGGTGGCCCACGCTGCCCTCCAACCCGGACCCAGCGGGGCTGGGAGAGGCGCCTGGCAGGGCCGCCGCGCTGGATGCGCCGCTGTGGGGAACGCGCGTCATTCTGGAAAAATGTTGTCGCCTGAAGCAGGGCTGGGGAGTTGATGGGAAGGGCTCTTCCAGCAAGCAACTCCCCTGGCTTTCTTGCACGAGGAACTCCAGTGCGAAGTTCTCAAGGCGTAGCGATAAAGTCCTGGGACGAGAGTGGCAAGGTTAGGGCGAGCAGGGTGGCTGGCTGGCTGGCTGGCTGGCTGGCAAGGTTCCCGCTTGGCTCATTGTTTTCGCCCGCCTGGGAGCTCGCAGGCCTCGGTGGAGAGGGCCTGGGTGAGACGTCACCGTCCGCTGCCTTGCCGGAAAGGGCTTGCTTCTCAGAATGGGATTGCGGGGCTTGAAGCGTGTGCCCGGTCACGATGCGGGGGAGGGGGAGGTTGGCAACAGCAGGGCGCGGCGCTCCGCTCCCCCGTAGCCAGCTGGGCGCTGCCAGTCAAAAGGCTTTGTGTCTTTTCTGCTCATGGTATCTTACTGTTTTGGTTGGAAGAACTCGAGTCAGAAGAAGCTGATGGAAGAGGAAAATGGGTTCCAGACGACATCACTTGGACCTTTGTAAAACCCCGTGAAAGGTCAAGAGTTTTGTGGGGGGGGGGGGAGCCTTGGCTGGGAGCTCCCCCATAACTGGAGAAAAGGGGACATTATGTCAGGATCTATGCTTAATTGAACTACTCAACTCAGGTTTCTGGGTTTGCAAGATACACAGTCCCATAAATGAACTACATGGCTGAGTTTGCACAGCAGACTGTGTTAGGATGTCATTGACTCCTTCATGGTTCAGTGTTGTATGAACACCTGTAGATTTTTGTACTACAAAAATATGGTCTCTGTCTTTGCACAGCACACAGAGTTATGGTTTCTTTTAAATACAGTTTATTGAACAAACTACAGTTGAGAGTTGACATTATAAAGAAATAAACCATGATGTACAAGCCACAATGTCTGGGTTTGTACAGTATGCTTGGTTTGTTGGGCTTTCAACATAGCATGTTCAAAGTTACCCCTAGTGAGTTGCTTTTATAACAAAGCTCTGTGATACTTAGGTATTTGATTTGGGTCTTCAGATCGGCCCACAATATTGCAGCATTCCTCAACCAGGTGTCCCCTGATTTGTTTTGCCTTGCTGGCCGTATCAGTTATATTCATATGATATAATAAACCAGGTCAGTGGTGGGTCCAGCATGTTGTCTGAACACAAAGCCTTGCTAATTCTGATTTAAGTACCCAGTATCACCCATGACTCACTGTGAATCTGGAAGAAAGGCTAATTTCACAGTTACTCTGTCTTCCAGGCTTCAGAAACAGAAATGAAAGTCTATAGAAGTTGCTAAATGGAGCCATTCTAGTTGTGTCATTTTTGTTTCTGAAGCAGGATGGCAGGAGCTGAAATCCAACATTTGGAGGGTTGCAGGTTGCTTTTCTCTTTAGCAACATGTGGAGTCCTTGGTGTTCTCTGAGCTTGGTTGTTTGCTTGCAGACATTTCATTACCTGTTTAGATAACAGTTTTGGTGGAAGTGTGGTTTTCTCCTTGGTAGGTCCTTGATTATGGTATTGTTTTCTGCTTGATTGTCTGGTGAAAACAACAACACACTACCCTTCCTGGATATCCTCCTCAGCAGACGAAATGATGGCAAATTAGAAACACAAGTCTATCGAAAAACAACCCACACTAAGTGCTCCATTACCAAAGTAACAACCCAACCTCCCACAAGAGGAGCTGTGTAAGAACATTCTTCAGACGAGTACAAATGCACTGCAGCAACCCAGAACACCAGAAGAAGGAAATAGGCCAGCTATACAACATCTTCCAACAAAATGGATGCCCACACAATTTTATCAAAAAGTGCCTGACCGCTCAACCCACTACAGCACAATCAACACAAGCTATGAAAAGGATCACGCTGCCATACATCAAAAACATCTCAGAAACAACCAACAGACTATTACAACCACATGGCATCA